GCTTTTAGGGTAGGTTGTGGGTTGGGTTTGTTTGTTTTTTGTTTAGGACTCGTGTTCGGGGTAGGTTTTAGGAGACACTCTAGGTTGGGTTTTGACTTTTGGGTTTAGAGTTTAGGCCTATTTTTGTGAAATGATCCAAAAACCAGCCGCAGATAGTACTTTTGGGGGTCAAATTATAAAGTGTAATGCTGACCCAAAAACCAGCCTCAAACAACATAACCCAAAACATGTAGTCCCAAACAGCATAATCAAACAGCATAAGAGAATATCAATTATAAATTGTAAAACTAATTATAGAATGCAGACCCAAAAACTAACTCTAAACAGCATAATCATATCTCAGAGTGTAAACCCCAATTCCCTGAGCCAAAGATTGACCCAAACTCTCACCCAAAAACTCAAAACCCAATCCAGAGTCTACCTCAAAACCAACCCCAGAAATCAATCTGAATAATATCTGAAATTAGAGTGAATGATGATTAGTAATTCTATATTATATTCATTCAAAACACATAAGGCAGTATTTTAACCTTTCTATTATGACAACTTTAAAACACGATAAAAAGTAGTCGACTAAATCATTTTAAAAATCCTTTTTAATTCATCTACTAATTCTTTAACAAATGAACATATAAAATACAGCACCAATCCAACAAAACTCCCAAACCTCAAGAAATATTGATTTTGAGTAGGGAGTCATAATGATTACGTAAGGAGTTAAACTGGAAGAAGGGTGCACCTGATATTAAGTGTGGCGTGTCACAAAGTTCCTATCAATAGCAGGCCACAAACTTCCTATGAAGAGCACTTGAAAACTGGATTAGCGACAATCAGTAATGTACTGCCAAGACCTTGATTTGATACTGATGGCTATAAACCACCGAGAATGAAGAATAAGATGAGTTTTAGAGAGAGAGAATGCAAAGTAGGAGTCTATTTGCTTCAAAAATCGGATCCATTACAATGAGGGGTCTCGCCCCTTTTATAGGAGATACAATACATATGGTCAAAGCCCTCTGATCGAGGCTCGTCGCCTAGCGGACGTCATCTCTGCCATGAGCTGTCCTTTTCATCCTATCGCTATCGCACAGTCAACGCGGCCAGTCGCTATCCGCCGGTCGCTATCCCGTAGGTCGCTGTCCCGCCTCTAGCCGAGCTCACAGGGCGAGCCGAGCTCATGGGTCGAACAGAGAACTTCCACGTGGCTGCTGGGGTCCGGCTGACGTGTCCTTCAGAGCTATCCTCCATCATAAGCCCCCCACTCTCCGGGTTTCGTTGCACGCGGCGAGGGAACACGAGAGAGTATAGGTACTGTAGGAGAGCGGTGCGGGGTCCCACGTGGAAAAGGTTAGCAGGCCATTGGTGCCGTTTGGGCTTCACCATCATGAAGTGGTGCGCCGTTTCGCCTCCCTAGGCCAAGTGGCGGCCCATCATTGCACCCATCCAAAACCTTCCTCTATAAATACCCACCCTACTCATCTCATTCTCTACCTTTTAGAGAGAGAAAGTAGGAGACTCTTCACCGTCGCTAGCCTTCTCACCGTCGTTCGCGTCCACCTTCCGGCTCCACACTAGGTTAGTCCTCCTCGTCCTTGTTCTTCCATGTCTTCCCAATCCTCGGTCTTTCTTCAGTCCGAGTCCGAGCGCGATGCTGAGGGCTCCGTGCAGGAGAGCGACTCCCGCTCGCCCTCCGTCGAGGAGATAGTCGAAGCGGTTGAGATTCCTCTTCAGTCCGAGCCTCGTAATCAGAGGCGGACCATTCTCGAGGACTCGAGGATCCGAGCGCGAAGGTGCACCCTTACTCGGGAGGAGTTCCGCAAGGCGAAGCGCCTAGCCTCGGCGCCGGGTGTTACCGTGCGCCATCCTACCGCGGAACAGTCAGTCTTTGATGCCCCACCGGGTTCCTTCGCTATCCACCTCATGTCCCTCGAGTATGGGTTCCGCTTCCCCCTCCACCAGTTAGTCATAGATTTCTTCCTCCACTTTGATTTTCTCCCTTGCCAAGTCGTGCCCAAATCCCACCGTTACTTGGCGGGATTTCTTATTCGTTGCCAAGGGACCGGGGTTTGCCCCGATCTGGCCCGCTTCTTGCTTCTCTTCCGATTGGCGAAGTCGTCTGGCCGGGCGAACTCCGACTCGGGTTCGTATGCCTCCATATTCCAAAGACAGGAGAAGCTCTTCAAGACGAGAAAGGACTCCGCGAAGAGTTGGAAGGGGAAATTCGTCTTCGTTTCTCTTTCCTCGGGCTCCCCCGGAGGATGCGTTAGCGGCACTTCGGCTTCGGCTTCGTCGCGACCCCTGGGCTGCTGACGAATGATGCGTTAGCGGCACTCGGCTTCGTCTTCCTATCCCCGGAGGAAACCCAACGGAGCATCGAAGAGGGCCCCTCAGGTTAGTGCAATCTCTCCTCCTCAGCAGCCCAGGGGTCGCGACTACCTTGGATTCCTCCACACCGCTCTTTTGCAGCTTAAGTCCTCGCCTCACCACTTGTCTTCTTTGGTTTTGTGCAGGTGAAATCATGCTTTCCAACGCCGAGCGGGTGAAGCTTATGTTCCCGGATGCCCCAAGCGGCAACTCCCGGGCTCCTACTGTGGCCGGTCGTCCTCCGACTCCACCCGTGAAGCCGACCCCCGAGGCGGCTCAGAAGAAGAGAAAGGAGACGGCCTCGGCCACCGACACTCCCCCGGGGTCCGAATCCCCAATGATGAAGGATTTTGGCCACCGAAAGTATGTCAAGGCAGCCTTCCCCGCAGGAGTCTCCTTTCTGGACCGGGACTACGACCCGGAGACTTTTCTGTGTAGCATGACCCCTCCTACCGACCGCGCCAAGATCAAGGACACCGACCGGGAAGCTCTTGCCTCGGACATGTTTCACGAGATGGGCTCGGTAAGTTTCCCTACATCGCTTTATAACTGTGATCCGTCTGCGGCGCTCACCCCTTACATACCTGCAGGCGATGATGCGCATGGTCGACATGCGTCAGCGGCTTCGCGCAGTGAGGAGGACCGGAGCAGGGCCTACGTTGAAATAGCCGACCTCAATGAGGCGCTGAAGGCGGCCAAGGAGCAAGCTCGTCAGGCCGAGGAGCGGGCTCAGCAGCTCGTGGAGGAAGCTGCTCGCAAGGCGCGTCAGGAGGCCCACGAGCAGGCCGTGGCCGAGTTCATATCTTCGAGGGCATTCCAGGATGAGGCCTTCGCTCGCATGAATGATCTGCTCAAGGCATGGGGGCAGACTCCTGAGGGGAAGGCGTTCGCTCGCTCCGAAGGGACCCAGTGGTACAATCTCGGCTTGTTCCGAGCGCAGCAGGTCCTTTCGGACAAGTTCCTCAATGGAGAGGACCTCCCCGAGCCGTGCGACAATCCAGATGAGTTTGACACTTCCATCTATGACACTTCCATCTATTACCTGACTGGCGCGGACACGGTCGGTGAGCAGACGGATGCCGAGTGATAGGACTTTAAAACTTTGTTGTATTTGGTGTAATGTTGCTCAAAACTTGTTGTTTTTGAATTTGGGTTTTGCTTATATGAGTATGTCATGACTTCACCTTGTATAGGTATGCTATGCTTCTATTTTGCCTTTACTCCTACTGTCTTTGTCCTTAGCTTGCGCGCTCGCCCCTCCCCTGTCCGACCGGAACTCGGCCACGCCGAGGGGAGGTTGCCTTGGGACTTGGTCCTCTGTCCCCTCGTTAACCGAGACAATTGATGGGACTTGAGCTTTTGACCTACCGCCCGTTGGACCATTCCTGTTCTGCCACGTGTACCTTCTCCCTTAGGCGAGATGCCTATATAAGGGAGGGGTCTTTGCCATTTGCTTGCACTCATCACTTGCTTCCTTTGATCTTTTCTAATCTCATCATGCCGCGCTCGGCTCCCACTCCTGATTCCAGCGAGATGCGAGAAGAGACGTTCTCCTTCGGCAGCTATTCCCAGGGGGGCTCTTCTGCCATTCCGACCAAGTCAGGGCCGAGCTCGACCCCGCCGCCCTCGCCGCGAGACTCTTGGGACTCGGACTCCGAGTCTGCATCGGTGCATCCCGATCCTTCTGCCAAGATCCCGGGGTTCACCGATTCGCCGGAGGATGATGAGAAGACACCGTCTCCTCCGGCTCCGCCGACCCGTCGTGGGGTCTCCGTTCTCGCGGTTCCTGCCGGGCGCGGGCGCGGGGGCCGAGGTCGCCGCCCCTCAGCTCCTCCCTCACCGGCCTCAAGCGAGGACTTCGTGGCATCTCACCATTCGAGCCTGTGTTCCTCCGAAGACTCGGGGTCGCCCAGCCATGATGAGTCGACCGGGCACTCCGCCGTCAGTCAGGCTCCCTAACCCGGAACTGTGGCATGCACCGAAGTTAGCTCGGATTTTAGTTGTTGTGAGTTTTTTAGTTATTGTAAGGCGTTTGTGCCATGTACTTGCCCGTTTTCCGGGATAAATAAAGTTTGGAATTCGTTAAGTTTTGTTTTCGCTTTTCGCTTTTGGCCTAAGGGGTTGCACTCGGCCCCTAAGGAGACGCGCTGGGCGCATTTTATTACTTATCCCTTTTTTTTACCTACGCTCGGCTCTTCCCTTGAGAGGGAGTGTCGAGCGCGAGTGTTCGCCTTTATCCGGGAAAACGTCCGGGTATGGTCTGTACTCGGCTCTTCCCCTGGGAGAAGTGCTGAGCACGAATGTTTGACCTTCCTCCGGGGAAAACGTCCGGGTATGATCTGCGCTCGGCTCTTCCCCAAAGGGGGGAGTGCCGAGCACAAGTGTATGACCTTCAACCGGGAAGAACATCCGGGAATTGTCTGCGCTCGGCTCTTCCCCTAAGGGGGGTGCCGAGTACGAGTGTTTGACCTTCATCTGGGAAGAACATCCGGGAATGGGCTGCGCTCGACTCTTCCCCTAAAGGGGAGTGCCGAGCTCGAGTGTTTGACCTTCATCCAGGAAGAACATCCGGGAATGGTCTGCGCTCGGCCTTCCTCCTAGAGAGGAACGCCGAGCGCGGGTGCTAAGGCGAGTTCTCTTCGCAAAAAACTTCATTCCATTCAGTACAACCAAAAAGATCTACGGGTTCCCTTTTTTGGGGTCCGTGTACATCAGAAGTCTACTGATAAAACTTAACTAGGTTCTCAACATTCCACGTCCTGGGACCGTTCCCGCCGCTCGGCATCTGCAGGCGGAACGTCGACGGACCCACCACTTCTTTAATGATGTATGGGCCTTCGTAATTTTTGGCGAACTTTCCGCCTTCCAGGGGCGGCTCACCGTTCTCTTGCGCAACACCCAATCTCCTTCAGCGAACCCTCGTGCGCGCACACGTCCATCATGGTAGCTCTTCACCTTCCTTCGGTAATTTTCTGCCCGTATGAAGGCCGCTTCTCGCCTTTCGTGCACGAGGTGGAGCTCGGCTGCCAAGGTTTCCTCATTACGCTCGGGATCGAAGATCTCCTCCCGATGTGTTGCAATAGAGATCTCTGCAGGGGCCTTGCCTCGAATCCGTAGCACAAGGCGAAGGGGGTTTCCCCAGCCGCCCTCCTCGGCGTGGTCTGATAGGTCCAAAGGATGTAGGGCAATTCTTCAGCCCACTCCCCACCGCAGGCTTCCAACTTTCGTTTCAGACCGTCGATTATCGTTCGGTTGGCGTTCTCCACCTGACCGTTCGTCTGGGGGTACCCAACCGACGCATAGCTGTGCTTGATCCCCTAACTCTCGAGGAAGGCGTTGAAGGGCCTGGACTCGAATTGTGTCCCATTGTCTGTGATTATGTGCTCGGGAACGCCGAAGCGGCAGATGACTTGCTTTGCGAGAAACTTCTGGCACTGAGCTCCGGTGATGCTTGCCAGTGGGGCTGCCTCCACCCACTTAGTGAAATAGTCAATTGCTACGATGACGTACCTCTTGTTCCCGGTGCCCCTAGGTAGTGCACCCACGAGATCCACCCCCATCGCGCGAACGGGATGGCTGTGCTGATGGGGGTGTAGTTGGTTGAAGGCCTCCCTGGCACCTTCTGGAATTCTTGGCATACTTTACACTTCTTCACGAACTCCGCGCAATCCTTGACAATTGTTGGCCAAAAATATCCTTGGAGGGTTATCTTTTTCTTGACACCGCATAAGCCCCCTGGTGGGCAGAGCAAATCCCGGCGTGCACTTCTTCCATAACATGCTTTGCTTCAGTTGGTCTAAGGCACCTGAGTAGCGTCCCGTTGTACGCTCGCTTGTATAGCTTCTCGCCTTCCAGTGTATACCCTGGTGCTCTCGTTCGGACCAACTTGGCCTTCACTGCATCGTCCTGGAGGGCGCCATCCTTTAGGAAGGCAATTATGTCGTCCGTCCAATCTTTGGGCCGAGCACAAATCATCGCCACGGGGAAGGCATGGATGCTCGGCTCGGACAGCTCTTCCACATTCGCCATCCGCCTGATATGCTCGGGCGTGTTCGAACTCAGCTTTGACAAGATATCCGCCTTGGCGTTCTCCGCTCGAGGGATCTGCTCGACACTATATGCGGTGAAGCTTTTAAGGACTTCCAAAGCCGTATCTCTGTATTTCTTCATTCTTTCGTCCTTTGCCTTGAACTCCCCCGAGACATGGCCAACCACCAACTTCGAATCACACTTTATTCTTAGTTTCGTCGCGTTCATCCCGGCTGCTAGGCGTAGCCTGCAGAAGAGCGCCTCATATTCTGCCTCATTGTTGGATGCCTTGAAACCAAATCGAATCGAATAGTACGCCCTGAAACCTTCAGGGGCGATGACCACCACTCCACCCCCCGAGTTTTTGGCGGCGGAGGAGCCGTCGGTAAAAACTGTCCACCAATCATCGGTTTCAAGTTCCGGGCTCGGCTCTTCCCGAGCGGTGCATTCCACCACGAAGTCGGCCAACGCTTGTCCCTTGATCACCGGCCTTGGCTTGAACTCGATCTGGAAGGCGCCAAGGAACATTGCCCACTTAGACATGCGAGAGGGCGCGTTCAGACTCCTGAGCAGCGCACCTATGGGCTGTTGGGAGAGCACCTGAACTGGGTGAGCTTGGAAGTAGGGCGTCAATCGCTGCACGGTTGACACTACAGCTAGGACCGTCTTTTCGGCCACGGAGTATCTGAGCTCGGCACCCCTCAACGTCTTCGCTGTGTAGTACACTGGGTGCTGAGCTCCGCTATCTTCTCGGACTAGGACCGAACTCAGCGCTTTGGGCGACACTCCTAAGTAAAGATACAAGGTCTCCCCGGGCTCGGGCTTGGCGAGGACCGGAGGAGAGAGGAGATAAGATTTCAGAGATTCAAAAGATTGTTGGCAGTCTTCCGTCCATACGAACCCCGGGACTTCTTCACGGCTTGGAAGAAAAGAGCGGCTCGGTCTGCCACCTTGGAGAGGAAACGGCTGAGTGCCGCCAACTTCCCGGTCAGGCGCTGCACCTCCTTGACATTTCGTGGGGCTTCCATGTCAAGGATGGCGCGCACCTTCTCGGGGTTGGGCTCGATACCGCGCCTGCTCACCATGTGCCCCAAGAACTTGCCGCCTTGAACTCCGAACGTGCACTTCTTAGGGTTCAGCCGGAGGTTGTACTTCTCCATAATCTTAAAAACTCCTTCTAAGTCTTCTGCATGGGTGGCCGCCTGCTTGCTCTTTACAATCATGTCGTCGACGTACGCTTCCATGCTCTTCCCTAGGACGGGCGCAAATAGCTTGCTCACCATCCTAGAGTAGGTTGCCCCGGCATTCTTGAGCCCAAACGGCATCACCTTGTAACAATAAACCCCACCGGGGGTAGTGAAAGATGCCTTCTCTTCGTCTTCAGGATGCATTCAAATTTGGTGGTACCCGCTGAAGGCGTCCATGAAGCTCATGAGCTCGCAACCCGCCGTCTCGTCCACCAGCTGGTCGATATTCGGGAGTGGGAACGGGTCCATTGGGCACGCTTTGTTTAGGTCGGTGTAGTCCACGCACATCCTCCACGTGTTTCCCTTCGGAGCCAACACTACATTCGCCATCCACTCCGGGTACTTTACTTCCCTTATGTGTCCAATGCTCTGGAGGGTGGCGACTTCCTTGGAGACAAACTCCCTCCGCTCGGACGAGACGAAACGCTTCTTTTGCTTCACTGGCCTGGACTCCGGATTGACCGCCAAGCGGTGACATATGACCTTGGGATCCACCCCCGGCATATCTCCGGGTCCCCATGCGAAGATCGCGCGGTAGGCGGTAAGCACATCCACCAATCGCCTCCGCTGGTTCCCTATCAGGCTTGCCCCAATCCTCACCTTCCGCTCGGGCGTCTGCGGGTCGAGCGGCACTTCCGCGACCTCCTCCGCGGGCTCGGCCTTTGGTCGGGCTTCCAGCTTCAGCATATCCTCCTGCGCGTGCACGACCAACGTCTCATCCTTTGGCAACTTCTTCGTGATCCGGACGTAACACGATCGAGCTAACCTCTGGTCTCCCCTTGCTACCCCGATCCCGGATGGGGTGGGGAACTTCATGCATAAGTAGTACGGGGAGATCACACACTCCAAGTCCTCCAGGCCGGCCGCCCTAGGATCATGTTGTGCGCGCAGCTGATGCTCACAACCATGAACTCCATCTTCAGCTTAGCCTTGTGTGCGCCATCCCCTACTATCACAGGCCCGGTGATGACTCCCTCGGCTTCGATGGAGTCTCCGTGAACCCGGAGAGAGGAGTGCGCACGGGCCTTAAATCCTTGCGGCCCAAGCTGAGAACTTGGAAGGTCTTCTCGTACATTATGTTGACTGAGCTTCCCGTGTCTACCAAGGTGCGGTGCACTATGGCGTCGTTGATTTCCATCTTCACTACTAAGGCATCCCGACGGGGGCTCGGCGTGCTCGGAAGATCCTTCTCAGTGAATTGGATTTGCTCTCGTCTTCCGAGCTTGGGCACCGGCGCTAGCTGAACCTTGGCAACGAATGCCATGTGCTTCCACTTTTTCCTTTGAGCGGCGGAGTCTCCGCCGATGTTCCCCCCATGGATGAAACCCACCGGATACCCTTGGGCTTCGTCTTCGTCTAGATCGTCGCACTCCCGCCCGATGTGCCTCTTCTCGGGATTCCTTGTCTGAGTCGCCACCGCGTTTGGCTCGGTCGGCTTCCTCCACGTCCTTCCTTCTGGCGGCCCCGGGAGGGGGTGGCCCCCTCATCTCGTGGAGGCGGTCCTCGGGCGATGAGTCGCTGCATCTCCTTTTGCAGAGTGAAGCATTCCTTAGTGTTGTGAGTGTTATTGCGATGATACTCGCAATACTTGGTACCGCTGGACACCGCATAGGTTTCCACGTGCGGGAGAGGGGAGAGGGCCAGCTCTCGACCCGTTCCCATGGGCGCACCCACGGAGTATACACCAGCCAAAGGCGTCCTCGGACCCGCGGTATAGTCTTTCTTCTTCTTCCTCTTCTTCGCTGTCTCCCCTAAATCTGCGGGAGCTCGCTTTGCCGGGGCGGCTTCGGAGTCGAGGGCATCATCGAACTCCTCCGAAGCCAAGAACTTAGCGCGTGCCAGGGTCTCTTGATACGTGGGGGGAGGATTCTTGCGGAGCTCCTTCCTCACCTCTCCGCGGGGGAGGGCTGCTTGGAACATGGCCACCAAAGCTTGATCATCCGCCCCATGCACATCTCTGGCTTCCTTCTCCCATCGGACTATGAAGTCGCGGACCTTCTCCCCCTTACGAATGCATATGTTGAGCAGGTGGGAGTAAGGCAGCCTCTGCCTTCGATTGGCCGCAAAGTGTGTTAGGAACTTTTCAGCTAACGTATCCCAGTCGTCGATGGTCCCCCTTCGGGAGCCGGTTGAACCAATCACACACCGAACCCTCCAGCGTTGCAAGAAAACATCGGCACTTGACCTCATCCGGGGCTGCCGCCGCTTCCATCGAGGCATAGAACTTGGACAAGTGGTCCTGGGGGTCCGTCGTCCCGTTGTAGGCCTTGATCTGCCACGGCCGGAAATTTGCTGGTAGCGGAACCGACATTACCCTCGGAGTGAACGGGGTTATCGCTCACAAAATAGGCTGGCTGTAGGGAGCCCTAGTCTCGACTCGACGCTTGAGCTCGGCAACCTCCCAAGCGAGCCGGGATACCCCTTGATCAGAGATCTTCGTCTTCTCAGTTCTAGTCGGGCTATGGCGGCGTGGGCTGCGCTCATCCCGTCTTTCTCCGCTCGCTCGGGCCTCGCCGAGCGAGCGTCCGATGTCGCGGACTCCTCAGCGTGTCTTCGCCTGCCTTCTCTGATTTGCCGGCGGAGGTCGCCCGAGCGAACTTCCGGTCCGCGGTCGAGCCTGTCAAAGGCCGACACCCGGGTCTCTTCCCCTCCTAAGCGTCTGAAGGCCGACACCTGGCCTTCGCTTGATTCATCGTCTTCCCCCTCGGGAACGTCCTCCACTATTACCTCCTCGAACACTTGGGCTTTGCCGGGCCTCCTCTTGCTCCTTCGGGTCTTCTTCCCCTTGTGCTGGGAAGTGGCACGCGTGTTCGGTATGGGGACCGGGTGGAGCTTTACCTGCTCCGACGCCGGGCACATTCCCACCCATGGCTGAAAGTGCCGCGACGGCCGCCTGGAGCTGCTCCGTGGTCACCCCCAGGCCTAACAGCGCCTGGACCGCGTCCGGAGTCGAGCTGATGCCTCCCGTGCCGTTGCCGCTGCCCCGCGCGTTCTCCTCGCCAACTATATGGCTGGTGGTGGGGACGTTGCTCCTCGTTTGCACCATTCTCGCTTCCGGGAGTTAACCTACGAGTATGTTCCTCTGCTCTCAATGAAAGCACCAATTTGATGGCTATAAACCACCGAGAATGAAGAATAAGATGAGTTTTAGAGAGAGAGAATGCAAAGTAGGAGTCTATTTGCTTCAAAAATCGGATCCATTACAATGAGGGGTCTCGCCCCTTTTATAGGAGATACAATACATATGGTCAAAGCCCTCTGATCGAGGCTCGTCGCCTAGCGGACGTCATCTCTGTCATGAGCTGTCCTTTTCATCCTATCGCTATCGCACAGTCAACGCGGCCAGTCGCTATCCGCCGGTCGCTATCCCGTAGGTCGCTGTCTCGCCTCTAGCCGAGCCCGTGGGGCGAGCCGAGCTCACAGGGCGAGCCGAGCTCATGGGTCGAACAGAGAACTTCCACGTGGCTGCTGGGGTCCGGCTGACGTGTCCTTCGGAGCTATCCTCCATCAGATACGAAGGGCATAAGATGCGATGTTGAACTCAGAGAACTAAATAGACACAAAATTGAGAGAAGTAAATACGCATAACATTGGATAGGTTGTGTGTTATGTAAATTACCAATGAAAAATTCATGGGCGTATGGTTTTATAGGCAGGTGATAGGTTGTTTGAATGTAATAATACACAGCATTAAATACGTTTGCTAGATTTAGAATTTAGGAAATATAAACCTCACAATTAAGTGGAGTTAATGTGGGTAATATATTTGTAATCTTGCAATGATTGCAAGATTTTTAGAAAATTCAAAATATGCAGAAATGTGGATTTTTATATTTTTGCATTTGAGTTTAGAAAAAATAATTTATAAGCTAGAGCAGATTAGCAAACATTCAAAATTGTGTTTTAGTAAAGTAGAAGCTATAAGTTATTTTCAAATGCAATCCCAAACACCCTCTTAAACTCATTTTCTCCTCATATTCTTGCGTACCGCGTAATCTTGCATAAAGACCTAATGGATACTTATTGGTATCTAGATTTACAACTACAAGAACTTTATTAAAGATTTATATCTAATTTATTTGTAAAGCTTCTTTGGAGTACTTTGAGGTATGCACTTTTGTGCACCTTCTCACATAATTTTTTTTATTTTTTAATTTTTTAATTAAAATAAATGCCTATTAAGGTAGTTAAGATTTGTTTATTCGGATTATTGTAGGTCCATGTTGGACTTTAAGTTTACCATAAAATTTGCCTAAAATATATCCTCTTTTTTCACAACAGATTCAAAGTGTTTATTTCCAAAATACTAATTAATTAATTATATAGTAATTAAATATATTAATGTAGAGTTGTACTTAAATGACCCTAAGATCCACATGTGAAATGTGGACCTTCGCACAATTTTCATTGGGCTTACAAGTAGATCTTTTCTTTTTATAAAAACTACTTCTTTTATGATATCAATACACTAATGTCCATAAAATAAACATGAATTTTAAGGCTATGCTTGAATTTGCCATTAATGTAATTAAGGAATATATCCTTTTTCATAATGATAATTTGAACTCAAATTTAGAGTTTTTCTCTCGGTCTTTGTCCCTCATTCATGTCCCAACTCCTCGTCCCACTATCCATATTTTGCCACATAACCAACCCCTACCCATGTTCATAAGCCCCCTCCCCTACGACCATAGTCCTACCATTCCTCAAACGTGGGTATATATTAATTTAGGGGTGGGTGGGCTATGTGGCGAAAATGAAGGACAAGGAGTTGGGAGAGGGGTGAGGGACAAAAGATGATCCACCAACAACCATCCCAATTATATACGCAGTATTTAATTATATACCCTTCCGTCATCGTCATCGTCCAATCCATTGTGATGTCATTATTCACCATTATTATGAAGTGAATTTTATAGTTGGTCTTGTAATTATAATAGTGATTTTCGATATTTAATCTTTAATTATTAAATATTATGTTTGTGATCCTTCTTTTGTGGGTACTTTTCTAATTTTTACAGATAATCTATTTTTGATACTTTGTCATGCATGTTGGTAAAATAGGAGTTAAAAGAATAATTTCAAGATGGTCATGCATATCAAATATACGAATATACGAAGTATATGTAGACACACACACACACACACGGAGTAATATATTTGTAATCTTGCAATGATTGCAAGATTTTTAAAAATTCAAAATATGCAGAAATGTGGATTTTTATATTTTTGCATTTGAGTTTAGAAAAAATAAAAATGGGAAAAAAGTTAAAATTTTAAATTTTAGATTTAAAATTTAAAAATCAACGATGAATGTGAAACTTGTTACTGATAATAATCTTAAAATTTAGATTTGAATTTGAAACCAATTGTAATAAGTGTGTATATTTGTGAGTAGAATGAGGATTCAAATCAACTTCATTAAACCACATTTATTATGGGTATTATAGGTTAAATGGCAATATTGGCTAGGTAGTATTTATAATTAATATATTGATGGCAAATTTAATTGAGTATTATTTTGTGTTGACCAATTTAAAGACACTTAAAATAGGGAATAATTTTGTACCTAAGATTTGATGCTATGAGATGATGGGTGGCAATGATGATAATTGTTTTACCTCATCAAAGATATATCAATGGCGTTGGTATGTAAACATCTGCTGCATGGGAGGCCATTTCAATTATCTGCGAGGCCATTTCAATTATCTGCGTTCCTGGAAACCAATAGCCATTGCCTTTAAAAATGAAACTTGTACAACAGACAACAACACTCAGTAGTTAGTTACCTTTTCTTCCAAATATCAAGTGTCTTACAAAGTGTACCATCACCCCTGCAGGGAACGTCACGTAACACATGATCATTTACACAGAAGTTGTGTGATACGAAGATCCTCTCTTTTTGGAAGCTTAGAACTCTTTGCACAGTGTGTATTGAAATTATAGCTCAGAAGTGTTGAGCTTCATTATCTGAGATAATCAACTTGGTAGTGTACAGAGCGTTTCATTGATGGATCAGAAGGTTACATCTTTTCACATCAACATCATTTCTTATCACCTGTCAAGCATTAATCGAAGCATTCTGATTAAAAGGTAAGACAAGAAACACAAGTGAAGTGTGAAGACATTTGCAAATGGAGCAAATATCATTAATGGGTTTTTTTCCTATTATATGTGGTGGCTGTATGTGGATTTTGTTGTTGGTTTAATGTATTTGCTTTAGGTTCAAAAAAAAGGTTAGATATGTAAGGGCGGATTAGTTGGAATGAAGAATATCTATTATTTTAGTATATGGGGATATGCAAACTTCACAGCGTAAAAGGAAAGAGGAGGACCATTCCGTTTTGTAAAGAGAAAGATGCACTGACTCGTATATCACCTATACTAACTGAAATGTTTTTCAACCAAAACCTGCACACACTGAAATCAAATTAATATCCACTCCCCCATCCCCCCTTACACAGCAGAAAACTCCCTCTCTTCTTCCCCAGTCTACATCCCCTCCTTAACAATGATTATTATGAATATGTTATGACTGATGGAAAAGGGCTGAAATAGAACTCCACCTCCTGAATTGAAGAATTCTAAAGACTCAAGAAAAATAGAATATGAGGCCCAATATGAAACCAAAGGCTAATAAATGTTGGTGACATATCAGTATCACTGCTACAACGTTACAAAAGTCTCACTGTTCACATATCACCATAATAACTCTTACCAAATTTTCAAAAGGGTATATCATGTAACTTGTAAGTAATGTATCCCCTATAATTACATAGGACTTATGTACCATCATCTCCAATGGATCCAAAGTTTCACCACTTTTTGGCTTTGGGGTTTGATGGAATAAAGCAAAATAGCTCTTTACACTGTCTTCCATCATCATGGGTCATTTGCAAACAGCTGTTCTGTGTTCTAAACATAGGATCAGACTACACAAATCCAACCCCCTACCCTGCAATGGGCGGGAGCCTTTGAGGCACTGGGGTAGTTTTTTTGTTGTTTTGTGTTATCTATACGACTATACCAGTAATCTTATTGTCAGCAGAGATAGGGTGAGCGGGAAACGGACCTCGGATGCAATCAAAAGCTGAGACTCGGACAGGTCCGTCCTAAAATCTTCAATCGATTTTTCTGCTGTATCAGATAAAGCTGCACATGCAAACAGATACAGCTATGATATATGAATAAAGGAAATCTGCCAACGCAAAAAAGAATCAAATAATTTCTGTAAATACATCCATAATAAATCCATACAAGTTTTGCCACATACAGAGATAAGCACAGATAAACTGAAAAGAAAACACTCACCTGGTATCATCTCATGAATTACCATGAGTAATTTGGAAAGAGATCACACATTCATTTTTAAGTCAGGATAGAATTAAAAGCAAGAAATGAGTCACTTTCACAAGGCAGAGCCCAGGTAAATTGTGTTTAAAGTGGAAGACTACCTTGAAGGACAATATAGTACCAGGTTTCAAAACTGCTGCAGACCTCAATACTACACCATCACATACTATTGTGTGCCTCAGTTGACACTCATTTTCTACTGTGACATTTTGCCAAATGTAGCAACCATGTATTGAAACATTTGATGCAATCTTACAACCCTCTCCAACAATTGAATTTGAAATTACACTGTTGTTTCCAATAGTAGTGCCCTTCCCAATAAGAGTAAAAGGGCAAAATACGATGAGATCTATCAATGTAAAAAGCTCAGCATACACGTATTGTATTTTAAACTTAAAATGCTAAATGAATTTACTGAGCTGGCATAGCAGTGTTCATTCAAATTACCTCAAAATGTCATTAAAGCTTTAAATATGACCAAATATGCAAATATGCATGTTGGAAAAGATTTTGGTTAATCGAGAATAGATGTCAGTGCATACCGTTGAGGAAACTCAAAAATAATACATGGTGCAAGAACGCGTGATAGTAATCAAGACATGCCTCTTCATTGAACACACCACCAACAGTGGACAAAACAAGAAGCACGTGAGGCTTGACCTTTTTACCCTGAGCAGCATTTCATACTCTGTGTTAGCGAGATAAAACAGAATCGGCTTCATTCTTTTCGGGATAAAACTGAAAGTGTTAGATATACACAAATCTTAAGCAAAAAGAATTAGTATTTCATACTTACTCTTCATTCCCAAGCATGAAATCATGTGCAGTTTTGGCATCTCCACCAACAGAGACATATTCTCTAGGCATTCTCTAAATTGCAACAGCCATGAAATCTAAATGTAGGAAACATTATTTAAAAAATGTTTAGATATCACATCATTTTGTTTTTTGTATGTACAGTTAATGAAGATTAATACTATTCACATACTAATTGGTGTTCTGGACCCGCATAATAAAACCGTGTGAAAATAGTGTCTGATTCATTCGTTGCCTGAATTTCTTCTGATTTTGGGGCTACCCCGATCCATGTTTTTCTACTCAACATCCAGATGAATTTATAGTCTACTTATGGGGAATCACCACCATACATGCTAGGCATGACAGCAGCATTGCTTATGTAGTATGTGTTTTTTAGATCGAGTATCTTACCAATTTGTTGAATATCACCACTGTTTGCGAGAGCAAGTACCTTGGTACCCTGTGTGGAAAACGTGGCATAAAACATAATTAATAAAGGTAATATATACACTTTAACATTATTTATTTTATACGCTTTATATGCTTACCTCCTCATCCTGCAATACATAAGGCCTATACTTGTTGGGGCTCGTCCTTGAGTCTCGGATGTTGCGTTTCTCCACAACTCTAACCTTGCATTTCCATTCCTTTTTGTTGTCTTTTATTCCACTTATCATTTTTGTCTCCATAACCTAATTATTTATAAAAACTGGTTTCAATAAATTCAATACGCTCTTGGATTACTGTCATATGATAGCATATAATGTTTTGCTTAAGAATAAAAGTATAATCCACGCATTATGAGTAATTTAAAAAATCTCTATACTCACAAGACTGCAAGTTACTGTGCAGAATGTTCAAAGAAAGTAATGAATTTCTTCCAAGTCTGAATTTGATCATTCTTTACTAAATGTATTCTATTACTGCTTTAATACAAGAAAGAGAGAAGAAGGGATGAACAAGTGAAGAAAATGAGGATTTTGACAAGGGAAGAAAAGACAGGGAAAATGGGATTTTAAGCAGCGAAGAACAGATAATCAACAGGGTAAATGACCATCCGACTTTAAAAGCGGGAGTCATTTTCT